CGATTTATTTCATTACTGTATCAATAAGTGGTAACAAATAAATAATTATCATCAAAGTTCTAAGTAGTTTATGATAGAGCTTCTGTGTAAACGACGTGAGAAGTAGGCTTAGCCGGGGTGTACACTAAAAGGTTACGGGGGCTACTAACGCGGGAAAAAGGAACATAGAGTTGGCCATGTGAAAAACAGTCAGTACTGAGGTCCACTCTTACAACGCGTAAATTTTGACCTTGCGCTTTATTTACATAAAGATATTGCATAACACACGCTGACTGTAACTGGGAACTGAACGCGCTTAAAACTGAAAGGAAAGTTACTTCTTAATAGAGGGTTTTTTGGCAGTGCTGCCAGATCAAAAAAACTCATTCGGCGCTAAGACAACACAAAAAGCGCTAGATTTAATGAAAACAGCACTTTAAAAAAGCCCTAGATTTCGCGCTAAATTAACTACAAACAAAGTTTGTGTTTTTTATTATAATTTATAATTCAAGAAAATATAATCATAATAAAGAAAACAACATTAAGTTTTTTTCTGGCAATATTTTTTGATGTATCAATACTTCGCAGGACATCGACTTATAATTATAGCAATTGCTGTCAACAGTAGTTAGTACTACTTTAAGTAACTTTTAACTTAGCTGTGCTCTAAACAACTGACTAAAACTGAATAAAGCAAAATAAATGCGTTGCCAAAACCATGAACGAAAACTTTAATGAAGGGGATTTCCCCGCTTATAGTCGTCGATAAAAAAAATCAAGTTGATCATCCTAAAGGGGAAGCCGGGAGATCCATAGCACAGGGTATCCTAGTTTGGACTCGTCTCCCATGCTCTTTGTTTTGTGGAAAAAATATGTTTGAAAAAGATAAACTGCAATGTACTATTTGTGGAAAAAAATAATAAAGGTCATTATTATTATTATCGGTAATGTGGACTAACAGTGCTGCTATAAAAGAGTTAATAACCCGCTAGTCGCTACAATTTTGAAATGTGTGCTAAATACACCAAAAAGCGCTAAATCTAGTTCCCAAAGCGCTAAAATGTCAGTACTGATTTTGCGTATAATATTATAAATACAATAGTACGACATTTCGTTGCAATTTTGTTATTTTTGTTCGGGTTCCGTTGTATGGCTTCGATAGATACAAATTTCTTCAGTAAGTCTCAATACGATAAATCTCAACACAGCAAATCAGAAAAGTTTGTAATTTGTACAACTCCATCTATTAGGTCCTTTGTGTGAGAAAACATCCTTTTTAAATCTCTTTTTATGTTTTAAGTATAAATATATTAATTATTATGGAACGTTTTTTTTACACACAAATCTTTTTATTACTATTTCTGAGATTTTTATGGCGCCATTGAACAAATTCGAACCTACATTTTAAAATAATAATCATTACTTTCGATAGAATTAACCAATTTTAATAAAACAAAGATTAAATGTAACTTGAAGATACGCTTTATGGTTTTCTTAACGATTTCTTAGAAAAAAAAAAGATGTTTACTTTAGACGTGATGCATTCATATAAAAACAGACAAACAGACAGACAGACAATTCTAAAAATTATAAAAATGTACTTATTTAATTATTTTTAGTTCCCCATAGTGATTTTAGTCACCAAAATATATATACAATGTACAGAAAGAGACACAACATGTTATCATCATTTTTATTATATGTATATATTTAATTAAAGAGAGATGGCGCTGCTAACATCAACTTGATGACTCAAACAAAGCCACCGTTGAGCAAATTCCCTACCCATACTTCAGAATATTTATCATAACTTTTGATGGAATGAACCGATTTTAATGAAATAAAGACTAAATGTAACCCGAAGGTACACTTTAGAATTTCCTTAACAATTCTTATGATATAAATTAGTATTTTAAACGTGATACGTTAACAAACAAACAGACAGACAGACAGACAGAAAATTCTAAAAATGGTAGAAATGTATTTAATCACTTATTTTTAGTACCCCTCAATCACTTTTATTACAAAAATATAAAATGTACAGACATCTGCTATTTACAGTTTTATTATATGTATAGATTTTTATTCTTTGTAGAATTTGGAATTTTTATTCTTTTTAGATTTAGAATTTTATTCTTTTTAAAATTTAGAATTTTTATTAGTTTTAGAATTTTTATTATAGAACTGTCGGGGCTCGACCAGGTCTACTTCCTGTGTGGCGGTTTCTAGAAAAAAGTTTTTTTTTTAAAAAAGAAGAGTTAATCGTATAGAGTCCCTCTTTCTCCGTTGCCCTATTCTGAATATCCGTACCTTCAGCTCTCCGTTCATTCTTGTGCCTAGTTTTGCATTGAAGTCTCCCATTAACACCGTATTGTGGGTTTTGAGATATCCTCATACATTTTCTCCACTCCATTGAGATGTGCCGTGGTTGGTGCGTAAACCTGATGTGAATTTGTACAGGTATAAAATTGTTACATTTTTAACAATAAAAAAAGATTGGATTTTATTTAAGAAATTTAAAAAATTAAAAATACACTTATTTTTCTACTACCTACGATTTTTTTTTAATTAAGTCGGTTAATTTTGACCAGAAAAAAAAATCATAAAATGGTTTTTTATGTAAAATTTTAAGCTTTACACATTTTTATTAGAACTTTTTTTGTCTAATTTTTACCGTTTTCAAGTAATTGAGAAAATACACTTTACAACTTTTTTTCCACCCTTGCCGGGGGTTTCAGACACGAAAACCTTTACACATTGTTTTTGTATCATTAAAACTACATTATATCAAAAATGCAAAGTTGAGTGCCAAAATTTTAATTTCAAACATTATTTGTCTGGACTATTATGTCTGTAATGATCCTGAAAGTATAAATGGAATGTTATGTTTAAAAATAATTGCCTAGGGGGATGCCGCGCTCAAAGTTAACGAGTGTTATTTAACTGGCGAGAGTCAGCTCGTTCCGCGGAAAAAATACTCGGCTTTGAAAAATTACGCCCAAATGACTTAAAACTCATATGAGCAGACGAGCTGAAAATGAATACGCTCGGACCCCAGTTTTATTAAGCCCCGGCGTCAGTCTGCAATGCGAGGTAATTGCAACGCTTTAGCCGGTAAATGTTTTCTGGTAGATGTTTAGCGTGACTGAATCTATTAAAACATTTAAGTAACATTTAGGTATATACACAAAGCACTCTTAGCCTGTAGTGAAAAGTGATTTTAATATGATACAAATAAAATTATTAACCTGCGTACTTAATCATCATCATCATCATTACAGCCCTTCACAAGTCCACTGCTGAACAAAGGCCTCCCCCAAAGAATGCCACAAAGCATGGTCCTGAGCCACCTGCATCCATCGACTTCCTGCATGTCTTACCAGGTCGTACTACGTACTTACGTCGTCGTACTTAATACAATAACAATAACACAGTAAGCAAAGTCAAACAAAGGAAAATTTCACTATTGTTATATTTATTTATTCATGATGATAATAATATATTTTTAAGACATATGAATCTCAGACGCAGCTCTTCACTGTAGAGTATGTGAGGAAGCTCAAGTTCGCTCAGCGAGCTTTGGACAGAGCTATGCCTGGCGTGTCTCTGTGTGAACCAGAGAAACCCACATGGCCCAACAGATCAAAGGGCTGAAGTGGCAATGAGCCGGCCATATAGGTCATGGAACCGTCTACCAATAGGGAAGAAATGTTCTCGAGAGGCCGCATTGTACCGGTAAACGAAATTTAGAGCGACCTCAACTAGATGGAGTGACGACTTGGTAAGAAATATTGGAAGTCTACTTGTGATGGACTATAATGATGATGATGATAGTAAATCAAGTTCAAAACTGAAAAAAATTATGCCTAAGTATAATTCATTATAATTCTAAGTGTTGTAAGTTTTCAAATACATAAAAAAGGTCTCTTAATAATTCCCCACTTAAACAATAGTTAATCCTATAAAAGTGTGGATTTGCCGATTTCTCAGGTGAGATGTTTGTAGGAGATAGTTGTAGCACGAATGGGTCGACTCGACCGGGGAAGGACCACTCTCTCACAGAATACCAGCGTAAAATAGCAGCTTAACGCTACTGTTTCGTATGGTGAGTGTAGAGAAACGGGGACACTTTTTAATAGAAAAGTGGCGTTCCATCTTTGCCTTCACGAGTAACAACGCATCTATATTTTTATTATAGTAGTTGAGGATAGATGTATCGGGTGGACTGTGTGCTCGTTTGTCACCCTTATCCCATAAAAAGAATTCGAATATTTTATCCAAATGCTGCTGCTACCATAAAGATAAAAAATATCACTACTAGTCTAAAGGTTTGGATCTGTACTCACCAACCCGTCAGTCTAGCGTGGGGGCAACTCTTTCAGGAAGGGAAAATCTGCTCGCATATTCTCGGAAAAAGACTGCCTATATATGGATTCGGTTTAAATGGGTTTAAGAATCGGCAGTGCCTGATTCAGAGTTCCCATAGCCCTGGCTAACTATGTATATGCGCCCACCAACCCCAACCCCACCAGCCTGTTCTGTCTGTGAGTGCCCAAATCTCGAATATATTTACTAGCTTTCCACCCCACCGTTTCGCCCACATTAACCCTTTTTAAGGCAGCGGGAATATATTTCCCACCACTAATTTTCACATTATTAGTTAAGCAAATTTTAGGGAAAGATTTTGGCAACATTTTTATGGATATCCGGTCAACATTTTTCATCTATGGTAATGACACGTCGCCATTTTAGATTTTACACTGTGACGTTTGGAAGACTGAAATCGGGTGTGTTTCGGTACGACTTCTAAAATCTTTATAAATCTTTTATATCTGCGACTCATGAACGGTAAGTTGTTATTATTTCTAAAGCTTATTGTATATTTCATTGATATTCAAGCATATTTTCAATTCTACATTTTGCAGATTTTGTTAGTAGGGGCTTTTTGTGGTGGTAAAAATGTTCCCTTTGCCCGTGGAGCTGACAGTATGTATTGGTTGTTACAGATTTATATTTTGAAAATGAATGAAAAGGCACTGAATGACTTGGAAATAGCTTGTGCATTAGAAGAGATTTTTGGTTTACCTGATGATCCCGATGTGTCAGATGATAATTTGGAATCCGATGAAGAAGATGTGCAGTACAGTACAGTGAAACTTCAAAGAATTTTAGAGAGCCTTGATGAGCCTCATGATGGAATTCTAGCACCCACACCTGATCCACCTGATAGTCTTATTAGTAATATAAGTAATGCGTCTGTTGAAAACCAACCTAGTCCATCACCTCAACCAACCAACAGTGACCGGCTTAGGCGGGCAAGAATAATCCAAAATGCACCCAGTACTTCTGGCACTCAACAGACCTTACGGCGACAACCACAATCACCAGTAGCAAATACTAACTCAGATTCGGAAACAGATGATTCAGACGGCGAAGAGGAAACATGGAAAAAAACTATGTGGACAACTGATCGGCCAAGTCCTAGCGTTTACGATGAAATTCCGATGGAACCGGCAATTATGTTTAGCAGCCGTACTAGACCTGTAACTGTATTTGAAAAATTCTTCACTGATGAAGTCTACGATTTGATAATATATCAAACAAACTTATATGCAGAGCAAAGGAAAGATGAAGGATGGACACAATTAGATAAAAAAGAACTGAAGGCCTTTGTAGGGATTTTTATAATAATGGGATACAATATTCTGCCTTCTATTGACCTTTATTGGTCTTCCGACCCTGGTTTCAGGGTAGATGAAATAGCAGAGACTATGACCGTAAAGCGATTCAAGAAGATATTGCGAAATCTGCACGTGAATGATAATACACAGATACCAGATAAGACAAGCGAGAACTATGACAAACTTTACAAAATACGCCCATTATTGGATCTTATCACTCAGGCATGTCAGAAAAATGCCAAAGACTCCTCATCCCAAAGTATTGATGAATCGATGATTCTCTTCAAAGGCCGGTCTTCCATGAAACAGTATATGCCTCTAAAGCCCATAAAAAGAGGTTACAAGGTATGGTGTCGCTGTGACAGTAAAACTGGGTATCTCTATGAATTCTACATATACACTGGAAAATCAAAAACCGGAACAGAGGAAGGACTAGGATCCAAAGTTGTGAAGATGTTGACTGAAAAGCTGATAAATAAAGCACTGGAGGAATATCATATTATTATTACATTTGACAATTTCTTCTGTGACTACACTCTAATGAAAATGGCATTTATGCTACAGGAACTGTACGAAGACACAGAAAACATCTGCCTGTACTTGTAAAAACGAATCAGAAGCTTGCAAAAGGACAATATAAATGGAGAGTCAAGGGAAATGTATCTTTCTTAGTTTGGCAAGATACCAAAGAGGTTCTCCTATTGAGTAATGCATTCCATCCAAAAGTTGGCAAAACCACTGTCTTACGGACTCAGAAAGACGGCACAAAACAAGAAATCAACTGCCCGTTAGCAATAAAGGAGTATACTAAAAGGATGGGAGGCGTTGATCACTTTGATCAGATAAAAAGTACCTATTCAGTAGGCAGAAGAAGTAGGAGATGGTGGGTCCGAATATTCTTTTTCCTTTTAGATACAAGTATAACAAATGCATACTTGTTATATTGCCAAAATAAGAATGCGACAAAACTAAGCAATCTTGAATTTCGAGTCTCTGTCGCTAGAGGACTGATCAGTGGGTTTTCCAGTAGAAAACGACGATCTGGTAGTTTAGTCAACTATATCTGCAGAAAAAAAATTGCTTCTGAGAATCGCCAAAAGGCAGTGCATGTTGTCGCAGAGGAAGTTCGTTTCACCAACGTTGGAGACCATATGCCCGTTGAATCGCCTTCATATAAACGTTGCAGAATGTGTAGCACAAAAGAAAAAGACAAAAGATCGAAAGTTATATGTGAAAAATGCAAAGTTCCGCTCTGCATAACACCATGTTTTACTGCATTTCATAGGAAAGGCTAGTTAAGGCGTCACGGGCAGCGGGAAAATATTTACCACCGTGTTTTTTTAAATTTTTGAATTTCTTATTTGCATTTTGTGAAAAACCATAATAAAAATAGTCTAAAACCATCAACAGTTTTACTTATCCACCCCTAGATGCTTATGCCTTATAAAGGGTTAAATCAAATTTTCCTGATTGTAAGTGTCGACCATCGCCCATGAACAACTGTAACACCAGAGAAATTGCAGGTGCCTTGCCGGCCTTGATAAAAGGGGTAAGCTCGTTTCTAGAAGGTCTCTAAGTAGTATCATTGAGGAAGATTCGCCGGTGGTAGATGATTCCACAACAAAGTCTTGCGAGAAAGAAAAATTCTTGTAAATTGCACAGTCATGGTGGACCGCCAAGCATCCAGATGGTGTGGATGGTACAGTTTTGTCCTGATGTGCGTAGGTGGAATACGGCAGCTAGAAATAATACCCAACAAAATGTCTAAGTACTCCCAGTGGAAAATGCGATAGAAAATGTAATGGGATGCAACATCTCTTCACAGCGACAGTAAATCGAGCCGATCAGAAGGAACTCGGTCGTTGACGATTCGAGCCACTCTTCTCCGAATGCAGTGAAGTAGAAACAGTTGGAACTGAGGTGCCCCGGTCCAGAGAGGAATACAATACTCCGTGTAAGTGCGAACTTGCTTCTTGTTAAGGCGCAAGTAACAAACGCTATGCTGGCAAGAAATACTGTCCCGCTCTGCTAAGCACGCCAAGCTTTTTAGAGGCCAATTTGGCCAACGAGGATTCTGATACCGGCTGAGGCAATAAGCCACCATAAGCTTTGCCGCCCTATAAAACAAAAACGAGAAGGAGGACAGAGACAAATACACAATGGCGTATACTATAACTAATATGTTAAGAAAAAAAATAGCATACAAGCATTTGCAATAATTGGGAACACTTAGAAAAATCAACTTAAAAAAACTAACTACGCTACACAATACTAAAATTGACTAAAATGTTTACTATAATATCAACTGTCAAAATGGCGTCGATAAAGCGGCGCCCTTTTGATCCTTTGTTATTTGAATGACTGATGAAGAGCTATCGTATCACAATGCTCCATGGCGCAGTGGCTTAGGTCTGAGTTGTTGCGCTGGGGGCCGCGGGTTCGAATCCCGCACGAAACAAGTATTTGTATGGCCTACAAATAATTGTTTCGGGTCTGGATGTTTGTTCTCGTGCAATTTATGTTTGTAAACTGCCTCCACGATACAGGAGAAAATTCTAGTGTGGGGGTAACGTTTTTTTAAACATAAAAATATAGAAAGTCATCTATGCCAACCAGACTGGTTTTTGAGTTATAAGAAAGTGACCATGTTAACCGGATGGTCATATTACCCTCACGTACTATATGTGTCATTTGCAGGTAATATTGGCATTATTCCCTCTTTCTTCTATAAAACACATAAGTACATACGCTTATATACGCGTCTGTGTGTAGATGTACAGTCACACTCATGCACACACGGACAAACACGTCTGAACAATACCTTTGTTGTTTATATCATGAATAACATTATTATTACTCATGTTATAATCCGGCTCTCACCTCCTTGACCTCTCACCTCACAGAGGTTCACGAGCCGCGAGGCAAAACCATTAACGATAAGGGCTTCGTAGTCGAGGTTCCTTGACTTTTTTTGTAATTAGTCGAGAGTTGTTTAATCGAATTTCAGACGGAAGTAGTATTCATGAAAAATACACAAATTGTTAGTTTTGCGCCTATTTAGTCGTTATATAAAATAATAATAATAATATAATTAATTTAGTTCTAAACATAAACACAAATTAACATAACAAAATAAATTAATGGAATGGAACTAAAATGGCGTCTACTCAGCACAAATATTATAGAAACCACATAGTGATAACTATAACGCTGATTTTCAGTAAACGCCAGAGACATAGGTGCAATAAAATAAACTTAGCTAATCACAGCCTCCAACATAAAAATAAAATACATTCTTATAACTTTGACGGCTCCGTGGCGCAGTGGCTTAGCAATGAGTTGCTGCGCTGGGGGGCGCGGGTTCGAATCCCGCACGGAACAAGTATTTGTATGGCCTACAAATAATTGTTCCGGGTCTGGATGTTTGTCCTTGTGAAATTTGTGTTTGTAAACTGCCTCCACGATACAGGAGAAAATACTAGTGTGGGGGTAACGTTTAAAAAAAAGGTGAAAAAAAAGTGTATAAAACTTATAAATAATAATAAAAAAAACTGTTAACATTTAGGAAAAAAGGCACAATAATACGCAACAAAAAGCGTAACAAACGGTATATGCAAGGCACAAGGCACGCAATAAATTATTTAATAAGATACAAAAAACAGATAAATAGAGAATTAAGCAAGTATTTTTACAATCACAGTATACATCATAAGAAAGGTGAGATACATCGACACAGAATTATGCTAACTCTGCAAATTTAAAAGATATTCTTTTAGTTTTACTTTAAAAGTGCGAACTGTTCTATTCGCACTTGTAAAGTAAAACTAAGTTTTAAAGTAAAGTAAAAGTTATATACACGTAAATAATGTGTGTGTTGCCCACCTTAACGAAATCAGCACCAAAAACAGTGTCAGAGCAAGCTTCAAAATTAATTGTAGAAAACACTTTGTGAAACGGCTTTTGAAATGTTTTTAATATCAACCACACTCAGTGACGCTCTAAGGTTGAAATCATCATATGTAACCACTTTTTTTATTTACAAATCAAAACCATTATTTCAGCGAATTAAAAATTTTAACTCATTGGGACATTTAAAATTCGTACACTAAGTTGGGCTCCGTGTACGATTTTTAAAATTTATCTAATCTTGCTTTTTAAAATACCAACTGGGGTCTATAAATAGTTCTAGGCAATAAAAGGCGAAATGGAAAGCTCTACAAAGAAAGTAGCAACAAGGAGAGTATTATTCAGTGTCACCGACGGGACGCGTGGTAATATATGTTTTAATAAAAGAGTTTCAAGTCGCTCTCGAACATACATCACACAAAAATAGATATTATAAGAAATTATTAGATAAAAATTATATAGACTTCATATATTGAGCCCCTTATCTTATAGAAATACCTTATAAAAACAGTTATCGATATAATTTTTTTTATTATTAATATTATAATATATAATATTAGGCACATTTAGCAAATTTTTAATTCTAACTCTCATTATATAGCTAGGAAGACATGACACAACCCTGCTTTACGCCCGTTTGGGCGTTAAACATGGGTGACAGGTCATGCCCTACCCGCACACAGGCTTTACAGTCACAGTAAAGAGACTGCACAGCCCTTAGCAATTGACCATCCACACCATACCCCGGCAACAGTTCCCACATTTTCTTCCTTACAACCTTATCAAATGCTTTCTCAAGATCCACAAAAGCACAGAAAATCCTCTGGTTAGCAGCCAGGAGCTTCTCCGTGATCATGCGGAGAGAAAACATTTGATCCGTGCATCCTCTTCCAGGTCTAAATCCGCATTGTGCCTCCCATAGAAATCTTTCCGATTTCTCTTGTGTCATGTCTTCCTGGCTGTTCATACTGTATCTCGACAGCTGTTTACAGAAGCTGAAAGATAGTTGTTTGGGTGTGAAATTGGGTGACATTAAAGTAAATTGTCTGCTGTATGCTGATGATGCAGTGCTTATTGCACCATCAGAGGCAGAACTGCAGGCATTAGTCACGTGTATGAAAGAGGAATGTGAAATTAAAGGTCTCCGTTTGAATGCTAATAAAACTAAGGTTCTGGTATTTGAAAGGGACGAAGAGAGAACGAAGTGTGAAATATGGGTAAATCAGGAATGTCTAGATTCGCAATATGGCAGGTTTGAAAGATGACCTTATCACAAAAATTGATAAGGGTGTGCTTCGGTGGTTTGAGCACGTTGAGCGAATGAGTGAAGACCGAATGGTGAAGAAAATATATAGCACGAAAGATAATATTAAAAGGTGTCGAGATAGACCGAGACTAACTTTCGAAGACCATGTGAGCAAATTGCTCGAAGAGGGTAGGGTCAAAAGTACTCGGATACCTAGACGTGCATGCATGAAGAAGATAATGAATCTGAAAGAAGCGAAAGAGGTTTGTAAGGATCGTGACACTTGGCGATCTGTTCTCTCTGGCTACCCCGTCAGGGATTGTGCGTGAAGATAAGTATTATATAGCTGTACTAGCGATTCACTTCGGTATTATATATTAGCATTGGTATTGTTTTATGTTGCGCCACTGCCGTGTAGTGGCGGTCAAGAATATCCACTACCCCATATCTTCCC